CTTTATATAATTTTGCATGGTAATTTTTTTATGCATAGTAGCCGGCTGGTAGCTTACCGGAACGATGCCCATCCGGTACCGGTAGCTCAGCCGGCTTGCCCCAGTTGAATTCTTTTTTCTTTCCTTTTTTCTGTGTATTGCGGCACAGTAGCTGAGGTGTTCCCCACCTCTAGCTAACGTGTGTGATGATGATGATGATGATGATGATGATGTATTCTTTATTTCATAGGTCCTCGTGGTTGTATAGCAGCGAAGCATCGGTTCAAATGGCTGATGTACTGCTGTTGAAGATGATGATGATAATGGTGATGTTTTCAACCCCCCAATTATTCGCCTTCCCTCACCTTGCTTTGATAGGCGTTTATCTCCTAGTTTTAACTCACATGCGAACGCGGATCCTCACTCCCTGCCCTTTTGACAAGCCCAATTCATCGGCTTCCATTTGGAGCCCTCGATCCCCCTTCAGATAAACATGCCTCAATGTACGCACATTGCCACAGCTCGCTCAACAGCCAGCACTTGCCCGAACATTAGAGACCCTCAATCGATACCTGCTGCTTATCGGAGACCCGCTGCATAACTCAAGCTCTGTGCTTACTTTGCGATCTACTTCAGGCGACACCCGCAGTACTTTCTCATTGCGTCTATCCGGTGACGATGCAGCTTCGAACACCAGCCAAGCTGGTGTTGGTATTGCCCTGCCTCCCCGGGCTGAAGCTGCTCTGGTTTGTTGGATCCCAATCAGTAGCCGGATGTGTGCGGTTGGCTCGTGGCCGGTTGGCTCGTTCAAGGCTTCTGAGTCGCGCGGGACTAATTGTTATGGTTAGAACAATTCTGGCTAACCCAACCACCATGATCACCGATCAACCGTCATCGATCACTGTATTGAATATTCCGTCATGGCCAAAGCAGCGTTCGCATTTGGCACCATGGGCTGACGGTTGTCCAACTTCAGGCATGTAGCCCAACTTGGTCAACTACATAGATTCTGGAAATGTGCCCATTCGTCATCGCTGCCTACGCACCCACAAACTGTAGTGATGATTGGGTAGAAGACGATTTCCATCGCCACCTGAACGAGCTCCTCCGCCACGGAAGTAGTACGGACACAAGTGCTGGCCGTGGTTCTGAACGCTCAAGTTGGAAAAGTATCCACTCATGAATTGTATCTGGGCGGCCAACACGGTGTAGGCTTCCCTACAGATATTGATGAGCGGTTACTTCATTTGTGTGAACTTGCGAGCACTAACTTCCGACGCAGCATCCGCCGAAGAGTAACATGGCGCATACCAGCCTCAGATCAGCCATGGACGCAAATCGATCACATTGTGATCAGTTACCGCTGAAGAGGCTGTGTCCATAACTGTCACTCGATTTGGAGCAATGTGTTACACCGACCAAGCACTTGTATGTGCTGACCTGCGGGTGCGTTTTGGTGGACGCCCACAGCGACGCTGCGAGCGCATTGCCATCAGCCAACTGGCGAAGTCAGCTGTTCTGAATGCGTATCGAAGTGCGCTGACATGCGGGTTGAGTAAGCGCTCACTGGATACAATTGAAGGTCACTGGTCTCATGTCTATCAGACCTTACTAGCAGCAGGCAGATCCACATGTGGTAAGTCTAATCGCCAACATGGACATTGGGTCTCTTCGCAATCTCTGGAACTTATCGATGCTCGCCTGCACACTCCGGCTTGAAACGAACACAGTGAGACTCGCACAAGCGTCCAGGCACAACCCCGTGCTAGCCTGAAGAGGGACCGCAAATCCTGGTGGTCTCTTCGTGCATATGAAGTGAAAGTGGCCACTGCCATTGGTAACCATCGTAAGTTATTCTGTCTGATACGGGGAACGGGCAGTAGGAGGCCTGGTGTTAGTGAAACTATACGTGACGAGAGTAGACAGCCTATCAAAACTTGTCAAGACGCTTGCAGCGTTGAGCTGAGTACTTTGAAAGGCAGTTTAATCGGTTAGAATTGTCAGATTTCTCGTCGGCCACAGTACTTGACGCCCTCCGTAACGTTCATATTGAGTATAATCCCACCGCCCAGCCTGTATTCGCAACGTTCCATCATTGTCACTTCCTGATGGTCATTATCCTCCTTTTGACTATGTTCGTTAACACATTACTGGCTTTCCACGCAATTTCTGTGATTTTCAGCCCAGTGTGCAAGTCGACCTAAGAATCAGCAACGAAGGCCAGGTGATCAACACCAGCAAGCGCATCCGCAGCGCTCCACTAGCCTAATGCTCGAACCAGCAAACACATGTACATCACCATTACAAACGCAATGGGGCAGGGGGTCACCGTGCTTTACTTCGTTTCCAAAAGCAAAGACAGGGGGCATCAGTAGTAGCCCGATTTGCTGCCACCGGACCTCCATCGGCCGTGCGCGGGCTATGGATATTGTAAGGTCTCCCTCACCTATGCAGACTCGAACCGTTGACTATCGGATTACAAAGCAGACGCTTTATCCTTTCGGTCACCCACCAGAAGCACTTCTAACTCGATATGATACCTCCTCAAGTAACCAAGAAATGACGCTCGGGCATCCTGCACCTGCGGTGTATATATATATATATATATATATATATATATATATATATATATATATATATATATATATATTCACAGTCTGTTAACAAACATTGTGCCATCAGAGCCATGGCAGAAAAAAAAGTGAAGAAGATGGGAACACGAACTGCAATTTAAAAATATGTGAAATAATTTTTTGGTTTTACACACGCCATTTTGTTTTTTTGTGAGTTTTTGTGTGCATCAAAGGGATGGTAAAATGGAAGAACAACAGTGACGCCACTGATGTCTGTTGCGGGCCATGACATCTAATATTTCCAACCACTGCGATTCAGCATCTCGTGGTCCCCAACCTGGAAGACGGACTGGTCCGACTGCCGCCAGACTTGAGGTTGCCTTCTTCATGCTCCTTCTCCACCTCATTGGCTGTTCACCGCGGCACTTTCCATTCGCTCCCTGGGAGTGCAAATAGCGCTCGACGTGGAAGGCGACGGGCTGGCATGCACAGAACGTGCCCGAGCCAACGCATGCGATGTCGGAGAATAACGTCCTGAAGACTGGCACTATTCGCCCCAAGCACGCGGTCTCCACCTCTGCGTTGCCTACGTGATGTTGCCACCACACTTGAGCAATCCTTCGTAGACAGCGATTGTCGAAGACTGACAGCCGCTTCATATCTTCCGAGCGAATAGGCCAAGTCTCACAGCCGTACAAGAGCACTACACGGACGGAAGCATTGTACACCCTGCCCTTGAGCTTGAGACTGACATCACGACGACGCCATAGGTGTCTCAGTTTGATGGATGTAAGGCGGGCCTTTGCACTCCGTTGTGAGACTTCATCTCCAACACCGCCACCAGCCGTGATGTAACTCCCTAGGTAAAGCAAGGGACTTGCTGCAAAACATGTCCAACAGTGGTGAGCGCGGACTCAGGCACCTGCCAGTCCTGGTGCGGCGTTTTACATTTTCCCGGAGTGAAGCATAAGCCGTACTTAGACGCCTCCATCACCAAGCTGTCCAAAGCGCTCTGAACGGATTGTGGGTCGTCCCTCAGCAAGGCGATATCATCGGCGTAGTCCAGGTCCGTGACTCTGTCTCCAGGGAAGAGCTCAACACCGCAGTCCTGGGCACTCTCCAGTGCTCTTTGGAGAACATCTTCGACGGCGAAATTGAAGAGGAAAGATGAAATAGGGTGCCGAAAATAGAAGTCAACAATAGTCATGCGCTTCGTCATCCAATCAGTTACGCACATGTGTGGATCGGCAAGTTTCCACGCTATTTCTATCACACCCAAGGGAGCGGGTTTGGTGAACCTCGTTCGTTGCATATTTTTAAATACTTGTATTTATTAAATGACGATTTTGTCTTAGCCCTGTTTCTTGTTCTCCCTCTATTATTTCATTTGCCTTCTCTTTTTTATTTTTGGATCCTCGTTGTCATTGGTGTGACCTCGGAACTGAATCCAGCTTATGTCAGCTGGATTGATGCGTTGCGAAATGTGGAACATATCAACCGTATTGCCTCCGTCTTGAGCCCTGTTGCAGCTAAGACGTGTGCGTTGCACATTTTAATGTGTTCGTCCTATTCACTTGTACTCACCATCCGTGGCATAATGTCTCGGGTTCCTGGTTCCCTTTCCTTCGGATTATCGTCCCAACTGCGTGGGCTCGGACACTTCGCGACGTCCTAGCCCACACGCGGCCTCTATCGATTGTGACAGTATAGATTACTATTCTGTCACCAATACATTTTTACAAAAACCTCTCAACCGCCTGTTCAGATGGCAAATAATTCCCGTTAGTCATGGGAACCAATGTAACGGTGAATCATAATCTGACTGGATATGACAAATGTCTGTAAGTGACATAAGACAGAGTCGGGCAAATGTCATGACGATTCGTGTTTTATTTAGACCGCTGACTAGAGTTGTCTCGAGAACACTTTCCATCTGTGCTTGCCTGCTAACCCGTGGCCTTAAGAATCACAAGCCTGCCTTGTAATCCGAGGGCGTGGGTTCGAGCCTGCGTAGGGGATCGGGCGACCATCGCACTATCCTAACCCACGCGCGACTGGTGGTGGTTGCGCGACAGCGAAGTGTCGGCACCATGTACCGGCGTATTGCTGATTCTTCTGTGACCGTCTGGATTTGGCAGCCATCATCAGTACGCGATACGTCGCACCGACGTTTCGTTGCCATACAACCACCGGCTTGTATCGCCTCCCTACCGCTCTCTCTCATTTATTGATCACACTCAGTCCGACCAACTGGAGTTAACGGATGACCGTCTTCAGTTGGCTAGGTTGGCACATGGTATCGGGCTCAGGGTGCAGATATTTCAGCCAATCGTAAGTTGGTGAATTCATGTGTTTGTTTCCAGTTGCTTATTGACTAGTTGCATCGTCTTAAAAGTCATTGGAAACGCATTTATCTGCACTCATTCATATCTCTCACGTTTCCACCAGGTTTTGCGCCGGCTGATGGCCTCAATTTTCCCTAACCCCCGCGTCAATTTCGTCCAGTACATCTTGAGGCCACGGCCTGACCTTTACGGACCTTTTTGGATTGTCACTACTCTAATACTTGCTTCTGCTATTGGTGGAAATGTTTCCAGCTATTTCCAATCCTTCGGTCGGCTAACCTCATGGCATTATGATTTCCAAAAGGGTAAGATTATTTATGTCAGTTGAATTGTTGCTTTTCATTTTCAGATGTAAGATTTCCGTGTTTATCACCTGATTTCTTCCACTTTTTTACAGTACTGCGCCTAAACTTTTTCTTCTCTGGCCGCAGATTTCTTATGTTTTGTTTCGGAATTTCTGTTTATCACTGCTTACCCGGTAAACACCCCGCTTTTATGGCATCGTTGGTTGCGTTATCTCTAACATGTTCCCGTTGTAACTCCACGCCTGCGAGTGAACTGTTTTTATCGTGATGCCTTGTTATAGTTGATTCGAATAACAAATGCTAATCTGCTGCATACACATCGCAGCATTTTCACTCGGTCGAACACAGGAATGCTACTTTCCTAAAATTGTACCTGGGAAAGTAAATATCCATCTCCGTAGGAGATACCGGTGATTCATACAAACCTTTGCTCTTATTTGTCGATTACTGTTAGCGAACGGTCACAGACAATTTTGTCTATGAAAGGACTACCCATACACCCCACGACCGAGCGCCACAATAGATTTGGACTCAATCTAAGGCCTTTCCGTATGCTCGTTGGCTTACTTCGTCGGCGTGCGCCATAGGTCGTGGCTGCACCATATTGGGTGAAATCGCGATGTGGCCAGTCCATGCCACTGCATAAAGGTAGTACGAAACTGGCCAAGAGACTTGGGCAGGCTGGTACATGCCGTCTTCGTGGATGGTAGCTTCGAAATTGTCCACACCAATAGTTGGAGACTATCGGACAGCGCAGTCGTTCAATCTCATTTTCTTACTGTTTTTCTTGGTTGTTATTTTGGTGACGTGAGTCGTGGCAGCTGGATCCACCGCACTTCGGTGCCCGGATCACAATTAATTGACTGAACTAAACAATCACTCAACGTGCACATCATTTATATAAACTTGTGTACGCAAAGGGGCGGTTGAGCTTGACCCGTTCCATGATGGGGGCACTCCGAATCTAGCCCGGCAGCAATCAACAGCCTTCTGGAAGCAATACCCGAGTTGCTCGCATTACACAAGCAGATCCTTTATGAGCACACGGTTGGGTTCGACGTACCTTTCGAGTATGTATGTCAGTCACATCTCATTGGCTGATCAACCGCTGCATCCCGTGTCTTTCGTGCGCGACCTCGGTGTGCTCTCACGCTTCGACCTAAAGTCCATTGACAACACGAATAGGCTGTACCAAAATAGCCTTCGGATGCTTTGGGCGCTCAGGCGCAGCTTCAGCACTTGGTCCGAAGAAATTGCTACTCGCCTCTTCGTCTCGATAATACGACCAATGCTAGAATACGGCTCTCCCGCATATTGTCCCATCACGCTGGGCGATGTAGAAAAGCTTGAGCGGGTGCAACATGTAGCCACTAGGCTGATTCCCAACTTACGAGGTATGCCATATGAAGACCGATGTAAGAAACTAGGGCTGTACACCCTAGCATATCGTCGGCTGAGGGTTGACCTAATCATGACGCACCGGATATTACATCTGAGTGATTACCCCATGTCGAGACAACTGCTTCATCTGCGCACACCAAGCAGCACGCGAGGACACCGGTACAAACTTATCGTACCGCAGTTGAAGCGGGTAGCTCACCAACTCTGTTTCGAACGTAGAGTGGTGAATACCTGGAACAACCTGCCGCAGCCAGTAATAGAGGCGAATTCAGTGGCCGAATTTAAGAAGCTTCTAGACAAACACTTTTCAGAGGCAAAATATAAAGAGCGGAACGATAATTAATACGTTAATGTCCAAGAGCGACAATTGTTGCAGCTACACAGAGTATGCTCTACTCGCTGCTTCTAATCAGTATCAGTATCAGTCATTCAAATATGGCAGCAGCAAGTCACAACCTGTGCCTCACAATCTACAGCTACAGCACGGTGAGAGTGGGAATAGCCAGATCCTGTATTCACATGTACCAAACTACATGTCTATTGGTTGCTGTATGTAGCCTAGATATTTCATTTAAACAACTATGACCCGGACACCGAAATGCGGTAAAATCCATCCCTACGACTGTCGTTAACGGGATATCATTGAATCACAGTGGTAAGAATACCCAACACCGAATCTCAGCGTACCTCGTTGTATTGTGAGTTTGTAGGTAAAATTTCAAGAGTCATTGGAGACAAAACTATGTGAAGGAGAAGCCACATAAAATGTAACAGGTTAATGAAGTTGAATTAAACTGATTTAGCCCATATGATGCGAGACAGCACAGTGTGTGCAATCACCTCGTCAATACTTAGCACTGCTGTTTCTCGTCTGTAACACCAACCCTTGCAGCTCTGTAGTTGATTTAGTTGACAATTAGTTCAATGAACCCTAACCCTAGCAAAACGCAACCAGTCTCACCGGTTCCGCACGACTTTTCGTTTTGTTGCTCGTTGCGCTCCGTGTGCGTGTGTAATTGTCTTATATCTGGCGGCGAATAAACTAGTACTTGCGACCTTGTCTTCTTGGTCGGCCGATCGGGGTGGTAGGTTTCGAACAGCCAGTCAATGCGGCACGGCGCTACGTTGGTGACCATAACGATTTGGCGACAGAAAATTCTTGATTGATGAACCCGAAAATGCAACTTCCAAACAGTACTTCAACATCAACCGAAGCAATTCGAAGAAAGCCAGACAGTCAACCGTGAATATCTTCCAGCGTCTTGCGGTACAAGCGACATCAAGCACTGAGAAGCAGCAGTCATGTGTGGATACACTCGGTAACAGCATTTGCAAGTTTCAATATGACCCGAATGCCGGCCTCACCTTCGAATCGGTTCGGAAGATATGAAGACGTTTTCCGCTCTGATGCTGACGACGGATGGAAGTGCAGACTTATTTTACTAAAGCTGAGACCCAAGGAGCATGAAAGTTTCTCAATCTTATTCTGCCAAAATGCCTCGAAGACTATACTTTCGACCAACTTGTGCCATTGTTAAATGACATTTTTGGTGAACAGTCTTTCTTATTCAGCATACAATACAACCGCATGTAGCTCGTTAGGTGCGCATCAGACGATTTTGCAACTTACGCGAGTACTGTCATTGCGTTTGTGGTTTCCAAGAATCTTAGGATGCCGAAATACGCGTGAGTTTGGTTAGCACAGTTGGGCAGGACCCGTCCATCGACATACCATCATTTCCGAACCTGATTGCACAAGGCCACAGTCTATGTTCCGTAGTTTTGCTGGCGGTGTCAAACCAGCGCGGAAGTCCAACGAACGTCCCAAACCCGACGAAGTCAAACAAATCACCATACGCATGATTGCAATGGGCGAATGGCACTTCGTCAAATTCCGTCCTTTCTAGAAGCATCTTTGTCAGAAATATAACAAACAGTCTCACAAGGAAGATCACTGTCGTGCAGTTGTTTTCAACAGTCTCCATCAAATATTCCAAAAAGCTTGTACCCACACCACTAAGTTGACACTGGTTCACATATCACAGTCGTAACCGAGAAAACTTAGAAGAATATCAGTAAATTACCTGTTCGGAGAACAACTCGGATTGCAACCAGAACACGTGCTTGCCAGGATAAAGGACTATGAATTTCGCATGAGAATGGACAAGTGCACATTTTTATGATATCCACTAAATTCCCCAACTGTACCATTGGTCGAAGTGGACGACGACCTGATCCATCAAACATCAAGGCTATCAAGGACATTCTTTCACCTAAAAACGTAGCGACGTTAAGATCTTTCTTTGGTATGATGAGTTACTACAGCACCTACCTACCGTCCATGCACGATCTATGCGAATCATTAAGCCGATTTTTGATGAATGATGTTCCGGATGTCATGCCTATTCAGGCGTGCCTCGCGTTGTTGACAGCATACTGTATTTTTATAAGAGCAAGTCGTCATTAATTTCAAAATTGATGCTAGCGCACTAAGATCCAAAGCTTCCAATCGTCGTCGCATCGGATGCATCCAACTACAAAGTTGGCGCAGTCATCTCGCACGTTTTTTCAGGCGGTTCTGTGAAACCAGTCGCTCTTGCCGCTCGTTCGTCGATCGCAACAGAAAGAAATTATAGCCAAATTGAGCAGGAGGCTCTCGCTATTTGTTTGCAGTGAAGCATTTTCACAAAATGCCATGTAGCCGTTAAGTTACCCTACTAGTGGATCGCAAATCGCTTCTTCTTCGGCTCGAAGAGAGGAATCCCGGTATATACGGCCAGTAGTCTGCAGAGATTGGCGACAATATTGCTTGGGTATGATTTCGAGATTAAGTACCGATTGACAAGCGACATTTGTTAGGCCGATGCGCTATCACGACTGTTGGACGAACAGCACCAGCCAGAAGAAACTGTCGTTGCTAATATTTTCATTGATACAAAGTCAACCGTGCGTTCCCAGATACTGTGAACCAACTCCCAATATCTTTCACTCTGATACGAGACGCCACTTTACGGGATCCGCTAGTGTCAAAGGTAAGCAAGTTATACCATTCACAGTGACTGCGGAAATTTCCTGACGCGCAGCTACAACAATTGTTCCAAAAACGAAATGCATTATCTTTCGTCCAAGACTATCCTTTTTGGTGAACACGTCATCCCAGCTGAACCCCAATCCAGTCTCACAGTAGTTTCATGCCGGACCTCCCACCTATAACAGGATAAAGGGTCTAGCGAGAAGTTATGTGTACTGTCTGTTTATGGATTCTCAAATCGAGTAGTTAACACCTTCCTGTTCAACTTGTCCCCTAACTGTTAACTCAACGCGGAAATATATTCTGTTTTCCTGACCGACGCCCACGAAAACATGGTTCACTTTGATTTCGTGAGGCCAGTCAAAAGACGGAACTTCCTACTCATTATCGATGCATTAAACAAGTGGTCCGTGATCTTCCAAATGTCGAACATCGGCCATGGTCACCACTGTCGGGGAAATATTCAGCCGTTCCAGTTTTCCGAAGTCACTGGTATTCGACAATGGACCTCAGTTCGCCTCTTCTTTGCGTTACACGGCATGGAGCACATGCGTTCACACTCTTATCATCCACAGTCCAATGGGCAGGCTGAGAGTACTGCTCAAAGCTGAGAGAGACGGTCCAATTCAAGAGGTCGTGCAGACTTTTCTGCCAATTTACAGGATTACGCCTAACCCACAGACGCACGACGGTGCATGCCTAACAGAATCGCTTCTACTTAGAAAGCCTCGAACGAAATTTCATCCGATTAGGTTCCTTGATATACACAACTCCAAGAAATGGATAATGGAACATCAGTACAACTGAAGATATCACGCTATACCGCGGCATTTTGACATTGGACAGATAGTGTTGACAAAGGACTGTTGGAACTACGGAATTTCTTGGAAATCTGGTTTGTTTATGAAAAGGTATGGCCATATCTGCTATGAAGTGACCGTATGCGATGATAAGTGGTTCACCAAATCAACCAACTCAGAAGGTGCACATCGTTCAACAGAAGAAAAGATGCCATTGCCACGCTTCTTGAACTACTGCTGTACAAGTTCCAGCTGTCAATTTGAGAGGCTATTCAGAAAGATAAGCCCATCACTCCATTAACTTCTACTGCACCTGATTGTCGGCGCAGAAGATGGAAGAATTGCTGCCGAATCCCTCTCGCGCCGCTGCAGGTCAACCACAGACTAAATTGCATATAACAGGGGAGGTATTAAGAGAAGCACCTTTTAGAAATGGGTCAGTAAACCCCACATGAACCAAAATCTAACCCGGAAATTCATTAGAACGATTGCACTGGCTAATCAAAAGTGTGTTCTCGGACCATCTCATACTATCATACAAGAAAACTAAACATTCTAGGTCACCGTGACCACATAAAAGATGGCAGTATGTGTCATGTGTTTGGCGGCAATTAAACTTAACCGTGATCTTGTCTCCTTGGATGGTCAATTTTCTAACGGCCACTCACGGAGAGATCTTAGTGACCATAACAGTCTCCTGTGTTCCACCGTTCCGTGCTTGTCGGCGTAACTGCATTGGCATCAGCCACCACTCTGTGACACCATGTATTTGCGTTTCATTGAACATCGTTACCTAACTGGAAAATATTCTGCTTCTGGACACTGGATTTTGTTTCTGGCTTCCGAACTGGTAATTATACAAAACTGACAGTTGTTATCCTTTTTCTTCAGTTTTTAATTCATCCTAACCTTTTGGATTTTAGCTGCTTTGCCTAATGAGTAAACAAACCCAGGCATACAACCCTGTGTAATCCGCCTTTATCAGTATTCTTCCTTTAAAGTTAGGTAGTGAGCCATTCATTTCCATCCATCACTCTCTTCGGAACCGAAACGTTATCCATCTCTTTTCGCCAGTAACTCTTGCATCAACGATCATTTACCTGTATTGGTGGTTGGTGCCTCTGGGAATCACTGGACTGACTTACATTCGTTCCAAGAAAGCCAATCCCGATCTGCAAGCTGATCAAGATCTTTTGATTGATGCTTCTGAGTCACGTGACAATGTTCAGCCATCCGGACGCTATGGATCCTTTAAGTTGACGGAATTGCTCTCCATCTATGGGTACTCTCTTTCGATCTTCGTCCCTGTATCTGTAAGTTTTCGTTTATGTGCTATCCATTTTTCTCTTTTCATTCATATGTTCTTGTGCTCTCGTCACCAAATGTGGTGAAATCACCAATGCGTAGCAATAGATGTTACTCCTTTTGATTAGTGCTTTACAAACATTTCTGGTGGTCGTTCTCACACATCCTTATGACTTATTGTTCATTTGATTCCTCCAGCAGAATCGAGTGATTCATCATTGTCATAACTATCATCCCCCTCGTGCATGTTAGCTGTAGATAAGAGATGCCTCAGCTATCATGACGCGATGCAATATAATTGCATAATCGCAGAAGCAGGAGACAAAGGCAAAGGACAATACAGGTAATATTATGCTGTTTTTTAATTATGCATCAGTAGTGAGATGGTTGTGAGAGGGAGGGGGACAAGCATACTCAGAACGCAGATGCCATTTGAGTTGGCTTTTCCCTATGTCAACAGGTGTATCCGATTAAACGTATTCACCGACTTTCGGGCCCCAACTACTGAGTCAAAAAACAAGGAACGGGGCCAACTTCATAGTGAGAGCCTTCATTCCTATTGACCAAGTGATCGGTTGGCCTTCCCTCCTCTTCTATCCACACCCCGGTCATGCAAATAGCGCACTTCGCGGAAATCGGTGTGCTGATTGACTCAGTTATGGGAGCCAGTTGAACTAATGGTGCCAAGCGGTTTACCTCCTCTTCCTGCGCCATAAGCAAGACACCGAACACGCTCATTACCCCCTCGGTGTTTCCAACAGATATGAACTAAACTTCGGAGACATCAGCGGTCGAACGTACTTGGTCGCTCTGTGTACAGAATTGTGCTGATTCACATGTTTAATCTATCAAACAGTGAAAATGATAAAAAATGAGAAAATCGGCGCGCGCAAAGACAAAAAATATGCTTCGTTTTATTTTTGATCAATTTGCATTCCCATGCTTTTTTCGATGACTCCATATCCAACTCTTGGATTATCGAATCATATATAGTGTCTCCAAATCTGTCGAACCGATGCGACAGGGTTAAACGGCCGGCTACATTGTGGGCTATACTCTTCATGGCAAGTGTGATGTCGCAACGGCACCACAAGTACCGAAGGCGGTTCGAACTTACGGTGTAGTCGGCCACTTCTTTTGTTCTAATGACGCTGACGCCGCTGCTCAGGTAGTAACGGTTTCGAATGACTTCTGGTTGATCCCTACCAAAGATCAGTACAGGACTAGGCCCTGTTAATCTTGGATGAAAAGTTTACATGTTGAGGGCGTGAAGCACAGGATGCAATAACTGACAGCTGTTTCGCACGCTTGCGCACTGTCACAGAGTAGAGCTATGTCGTCGGCATGCTCTAAGCCGATCACCCGAAGACAGGTCCACACCTTCCTAGTAGTAAACAGTGAACGCGGTATCCATGACTTCGTCAGTAGCAAAATTAATGAAAATAGGTGACAGTGTACATCTATGTCTCATGCCGCCACGTTGTCGCCAAGATAAGCGGCGGTGTTCCAGTAACTGGCGCAGAGTGAAAATGTTATCAATGCAGCCTCGACTTCGACGATACCCCAGCTTGCTCTTCACGGATCTGGCTTCCGCAGTGCCAGTCAACCTGTGTAGAACGACAGGCAACTAACTTAGAGGCAAATGAGATCAGACTAGTACATGACTACCTCGTTCCAGGCGTGAGCTCCCTTGAAAATCGGGACAATAGCGGATTAGCTCTAGTCGATTAGAACAGTTTCTTGTTTCCATGTTTTTACTAATAAATCGTTCAAATCCTCAACAAGAGCTGGTTTCCAGATTGTAGAGGAATAGAGGAAGCCCATCTGATCCTGTGGCCTTATACATCTCAACAGACTGACCTCACGTCAAATTTTTGCGCGAAAGAGCCAATCCAAAGGGATGACCCGGAGAGCGGCACGATCATTGGCCGAAAGGAAAGTTGCTAACTCTGTCCGGTTAAATTGTTTTTCAAAAATTTTGACCCACGCTCCAAGCGATTGAATAAATAAATAAATTTTTTTAATTGTCACTTGGTGTACCCGCTGTATGTCTGGATTTCGACACGCAATCTCGACTGAGGCTACAGTTTGCTTTGAAGCCAACCCATGCCATTTCCATCAATGGGACTGCATCTGAAGTAGAGTGTTTCGGAGCTGTTTTCTCCCAACACTGCACTCCACGACCGACCGGTTTCGTCCTGATTTGGACTCGTCAGGTAGAGAGGTAGCTTGAGCTGAGAGCGGAGCCCAAATTTTTTATTCTCGACAGTGCGACGCACGGCTGTATAGGCATGATCATAGTAATACAAACAGAATTGATAGATAATTGTACGAAATGTAAAATTACTAGTAATGTACTGGATCTATGTGCGTATGTGAATGTATGTAGGTATGAATTTAGGTATCTGTGTTGCCTGAATGTGTTAATTTGGCGGTGCGTTTGGTGTTGTGTTCAGTCAGGTCGTCAGCATGAGAAGGGTTCGAAGGGACGGATGTCTGTGGAATGAGGAACGTGATCCGGATAAGCGAAGCGCAGAGACTTTATTTAGTGCCGAGGTACACCGCCATGTCAAAGTATTGTTAAACAGACTTACGTTGCTTTTTATATGACAAACGTTAATCCACCACCTCCTGGAACACTACCGCTGAACAATTCGCTGGACCGGTTAACCCGAACCACCCAGCGGACACCACGGGAGGGTTGTTCGGATAAGCTGTCCAGGCATATAGTTCCGCTAACAACAAGTCTCCTGCTGCCCGTCTAGTATCAGATGGAATAAATTATGATGGTTGCCAAGATAAGCAGTCGTTTTTTCTCCGACGCACTATTAGACCACCAAGTTTTGCGATCTTTCCCTGACTTGCACACAGGTTTGCCCTGAGGTTTTTGCGAGTCTCGCTCTTAGCCGAAACGTGTCGATGAGCATCCAGAATTTCCATCGACTATATTGAGACCCACTGTTGAGGCTGCCAATTGGATTTGCCACACGAAGAAATACTTGCTGTTAATTAGGTCTGATGAACATGTGCTCATTGGGCGCTTAATCAGCTCAGAAACATTCAGAATATTAGGCTCCACCAGTGGGCAAATGTCTATTCTCTTACAGCATCGTCGTCAGCGTTCACTATAAAGCACCCGGAGAACAGTACAAGTACATGATTGTATTCCATGCTTGTACTCCAAATCAAGTGGAAGTTTTGGCCTCATGTCTCCAGCGATAACTGATCGCGATGCCGTCGATTTGTGTCTATATCCGGTCTGGGGCTAGTGGGCGCCAAACCACCCTCTGGTGGGCACTGTGGCAGAAGTTGGTGCTCACACAAATTTAACAAATTTAGCACACAAATTTAGCAACCATTCGACATTATCATTATAGGAGGTTAGACCTTGTTAGTCGCCCAGATGCTGCAGCTCATCGCTGCATTCAAGTCACTGGCCAACACGACAGTATTCATACCTTTTGTGTAACGAAGGAGCTCGTTCGTTTGGTGATGGAAATCGCCTTTCACCGAGTCAGCGCTACAGTTTGGCAATGACAAATAGAGACCTATTTTCCTCGTGCGGCTTTGAAGCTTTGAGCGAGCCAGTCAGCTTACCTGACGACGCACATCCTGTTACTGATTGGGATTCGATCAGAGCAGCTTCTGGTGTTTTGATCAATGTCCACACAGTCTTGATCGGCGTTCTAAGCTACTTTGTCTCCAGATAGACGCAGTAAGACAATGCCGCAATTGTCACCTGTAGGAGAACACTGGGTGAGCACAGAGATGGAGTCTTGCAGGTAAGTTTCGGATCAGCAGATATTGATTGATAGGGTCTACTGATCTAGCAAGTGCTGTCTGTAAACCGCCTTGCAACAAACTTTGGACGTTGTATTATTGTGGTTTAGACGTTTTTCACACTAAACTATATGAATATCCGTTATTAAAATGGTCGGTAAAGGTATTTCTCTTCGCTCTGCTTCCACAGTGTTGCGATGTTTCGGTTCTTTGGGGGAGAGATCGTGTGCATCTTACTTTGTGGCACTTTTGTTGGTTGCTATAGTAACCTGGGATTCGGTCTGTACTTCTGACGTTTCTGTAAATGTTTGTAGTTGTCTGTCCACCAGCCTGGAAACTAACGCATTTCCACAGACAAATTTGTTTTGCGTTTCTGTTTCTATTTCAAACTGAAAGTCGTCCATGGCAGTGTCAAACAACCAATGTACAAACTGCACTTGACTACGTTTAAGTGTCACATAGGTATCGTCTACAGCGGATTCATAACTCTAGGACGATTGTCAACGGAGATTTTTCTGTGCTTTCCAATAACGTTGAACGACGCGTGTAGGATCGCAACTCACGTTGATTTAAGAATGATTTTCATTTTTGTTGGACCTTGCCAATAGCTTGAATAAAGACTTTCGCGAGCTTCCCTAGGCTACACGTTCACTGCCTCTGTCCATTTTTCGCTTGCTTTATTTTGAAACGTGTACCATCAGAGTGCACTTTACGTCTACCTCGTGTGTTGTCACTAACGAGTGGTGTTCTGTTACCCGTAGCTTTTATGGACATTCCCGAGCAGTATCTTCAGATGGCTGCTTTTGATCATCGCAGCTGCGGTTTCCTGCACGTTCCTTGCGCTCACATTGCTTCCGGGGTTCCGGCGACAACATCAGAAGGTAGGTGTTGAACATTTTATTTTCCCATTTGCGTTTCGGTTAGAATTACTACAGGGGGCATCCTGTTCACACATTTTATAAACCATTATCAACAGCAGTACATCAGTCATTTACACTGATGCTTCACTGCCGTACAACTACAACGACCTACAAACTGAAGAATAATGCCCTAAGCAAATATTCAGGGTCAAGGCGCCTACACATTGTCAACAGCATACCGTCACAAACAGTTGGCTATCGTGCTAAGATAAGGCGGCATCAGCGAGACAGCTTCCTTGCGGTTTTCACTGTCCCGAGTCATAATCAGCCGTTACAACGTAGATAACTCAGCACCAAACACACTAAACCGACAGTCACATTAGGAGTCGACAACAGACGTGCCACTAGTGTCAACGACGAGCCGTGTCCTGTAACGTCTCGAGCCAAGCAGAAGCCGGGTCACGTGGACTCCAGCCTGATAGGCGAAACGGGTCGACAGTACCCAGTTTAGTCGTCAGTGACTTTATTTCTCTCCAGTAACTTAACTTTTGCCGACCACGAGCTTTGCGCCACCCTAAATCTGCCAAAAGACGGCCCTTTTCGGTAAGCCGTGACTGAGCTTACGTAGTTCGTTTCCAAGTCAACGCGATTTATTCAGTGCTGACTGTTATTCTAAGGAACCAGCCTGGCTATCACTGCCTAGCAATCGCCTACGCACATCATCGATGCACACACGCCGGTGCTATCCGACACCGGCAGTGCTTCGCAGGCAGCGATGATCGACAGGTTGAAGGCACCGGGGGTGGTCAGATCGAAGGGGCCAAGTCTTACTCCCATAGAGTAGGACGGCCCTCACCGTGGCTGTGTAAACACGGCCTTTCAGACCGAGGGAAACTCTTTTCTGTCGACAAAGATGTCGCAGATCCAAGAAGACAGTTCTAGTTTTGAAATACCTGAACTGATTTCAGTTCCTATGCGCCCGTCGTTGCTGATGCAGCTACCAAAGTAAGTGAATTGATCAACTACCTCGAGTCCCTTGTTATCAATTATCACTGGCAAGCACACTAGCCTGTGTCCTGCCAACTGATGTTGAACACCACTGGAAGCTCTTGCAGCAAGCAATGTTAACTTCAGGCCAATCGGTCTGTGGGTTATAAAACCCCTTGAAAGGTTAGCTTTTGGTGCGCTCCCTGGCACTGTCCGACCAATGCCGAACTCTCAATAAACCCAGGCCAGAATGAAATTCGCCGTATTATCAGCAGACAACTCAAACGAAGCCTTCGGTACACTCGCTCGCATGCCGTGTTCAGTGCCACTCGAATCACCGACCGAAGCGGAGGTTTGTCTTGAGATTTGTCACTTGAAACGCTTCAAGACGGCAGGCTCAGATGAACTTCCCCCAGTGTTGTTCAACTACGGCTGTACAGCAGTCGTCAAGCAGCTAACGTCCCTGTTCCTGAAGATCTGGCAGGAAGGAAGGGTCCCCTGATCCTGGGGGGAGTCAATCATTGTTCCAATCTTCAAGAAAGGTTCTCACACTTCGTGTGCCAATTACAGGGGCATTAGCCTGATATCTGTTGCCTCCAAGCTGCTAGCATCTATCATACTCCGCAGGTTATCCCCCACTCCTGAGTCACACTACCGGGAGGAGCAGGCTGATTTTCTCCCCGGGCAAGGATGTGTAGATCAAATTTTCACTTTTCGTCAACTCCTGGAGCATCGTTACCACTAACGCAGACCCACCATTGTCTTTTTCCTGGATATTCAGGCTGCGTTCGACTCGCTAGATCGACCTGCTTTATTGAACTGCCTGCTGAAGAATGGAGTTCCGAAAAAGTACGTCGCCATACTTCGCGCGCTACACCTCCACGCTTCAGTCCGAGTGAAAGCCTATGGCACGCTTTCCCCTCTTCCCTGTCTCCAGTGGCGTACGACAAGGATGCCCAATGTCACCGTTTCTTTTCAACTTTGCGATCGACGATGTCCTTTTGGGAGCTTCGGCTTCCAGAACTTCGGCATAGAACTTCTTCCAGGTAATCGCGCGACCGACGATTCCCATGGGATGTAATCGTCCATTGATGTATTTGTGATCGAAGCGTCCAAGTTTGATATGTGCTTTGCCCCTCCAAGCGTAAATTTCTTCTACACGATTAGCAGGCACCCCTTCCACAATTCACCATCGAGGACACACAGTTCGAATACGTAGATAGTTTTATCTACCTAGGCAGCTACTTCTCTGCCGAATCGTTAAAGCCCGGTAAGTGTTTGCCAACTTAGGACATTTGTGATGCCGTCGCGACATTCTCTCGTTAAAAGGCGGGGTTTACAAAGCCTGTGTACGCGGGACATTGCTGTACCGGATGCGAATCCTGGCGGATCCGTGTGGAAGACATATGCCATGTTTCGATCTTCGACAGTAGCTGTTTGCGGGGGATTGCCCGCGTGCGTTAGCAACACCGAGTGTGTAATGATGACGTTAGACATCGCGTCTTAAGTAAGGCGGAAGTACCGCTTTGTGATGTCGTCCGAATGCGTCAATTAAGATGGTTTGGCCACGTTTTGTTCATGCCTAACGAGCGTTTACCACGCCGCGGCCTGTCTGCGCGCGCAGGGTTACTTTGGAAAACTCCGCGCGGAGGTCAACCGCCCACCTGGTGACAGTGTATGAAATTGATGATTTCTTGCCTGGCTATCGCTGGCCCCGTTCGACTCCTCGACTGGGGACCCAAAGATGAAGAATGCCAATGGACCAAAACACTAGAAGCAATGGTGCGCGTAAATCTGCCTGATTTCACGTCTACAAAAACACTAACGCCTAAAAACTGCAAAAAAAATACAAAATGGCGTGTGTAAAACCGCAAAAACGTTGTCCCATATTTTCCTCCATTTTCAAAGTATTTTGCATGTTATGGGCGTTTTATTATTCTCGATTCCATGGTTTTGTATAGTTCGATGTCCGTTTTATAGACCGTTGACGTTGGTTGGCGGCATCCGGTTTCGGATTTGCCTGTCACTGTGGCAAGCCACAGGACGCCTGCGCCTACAGAGGGACCATGGATGGCTTGCGCTGCACCACCCACAGCTCCAACCACATACCCCATATCCAGTGTAAACCCGAAGGAATAAGACCGGGAGGCATGCGGATGGGAACCACGTTTCATCAACGGAGCCGGCCCACACTCCTTCACAGGCAAACACAAACACGCTGTATTTGGGGAATCAACCGCACACAAGGCGGTGGCTGGACCGTAGTCCGCTCCACACTGAGTGCATGGAACCGCTCTTTGAGCCTAGCACGGCCACAAGAACCGTGCACCCCGTCCCCTCCAGCAACGACCAACTGTCTCCTGGAGGCAGTATGGACGAGGTAGTGGGTAATAGACAGGTAGGCAACTTGTCAACATACGCATCAAGCGCAACCACACCGGGGATATCAAAGAACATCCATTCACTTTAAACGACAAGCTGAAATAAAATAAATCCAATAATGGATACAGATACGGTGGCATAACTCTTCGTTAAATTACCATATGAAGTAAGTTGGTTAACAACAAATCCGTGAAAAGTAAGGAATGTCCACAAGTTACTTAAAAATGCTACAAACGCAACAAAATTACCGAAGATAAGCGCAACTAGTCTAAGCAACATGGCCAGTTAATAGAACATTATTCAGGGAGGCAGAACAAATCAAATAAAGCGGAATGAAGTTTATCCAGCTTAAAAAGACCTAGTTTAAGTGTAAGTTGGTTTTTACATATATATATATATATATATATATATATATATATATGTCAGCATGGCCAAGTGGCTGGTGGTCCTGCAACACTGATGGTGCGAAGCGCATGTCAAATGATCGGACCACTCTAGCGAGGTTATTCAGCGTTGAGTGCTTTAACAGCATTAAACAGCAAGACAATATTGCCCGCATAATCACCAGGTAGCATCTGAACCCCTGCATTGTGAGATTCCGCAATAGAACACTCCATGATGGAATCCACGATGAAGTTCCTAGTATAACAAAGATTTTGCGCAATACAATACTTTTTGGGGCACAATAACCGGCTGGTTGCTTTCCGGAACGGTGACCATCCGTTACTGGTAGCTCAGCTGGCGTGCATCTGTTGCATCTTTTTCTTTTCTTATGTATCGTGGCACAGTAGCTGAGGTGTTTTCCACCCCTAGCGAACGTGTTCGTCATTCATGCTCATTAATGGGGTAATTGGGCAACCCTGAAGAGCGCCACTTATCGGAAAGACATCTGAGATGTCACCGTGGCGTTCCAGTACATGACATGTAGAATGCTCGCACATTTCACGGGAACACCTTTCCGCGTAAGTACTTTGAACAGCATACATCGACCGACAGTCGAACGCACTCGGCTATTGTCGCTCTGCGATACGTGTGTCGCTGTTTTAGCATTTGGTATCTACAGGCCCGTTGCCTAGAGGTAACGAGCTTGCGGCGCGAGTTCGATTCCGCGTAGGGGTGGGCGTCCTCGCGTTATACTCAGCCCGCATGCGATTGGTGGTGGTCGCACGGCAACGAAATGCCGGTTACGGCGTACAGCTGACACATTTTTTTCTGATGTAGGCCCGTCCTGGGCAGAAACCTACTTGCTCTTCACTAATCCGGGATTCCCGTTCCGCATTGAGGCGACGAACGAGAATCGAGGCTAGTAGTGTTGTCAACATTTGCGTTAGGCTAAAATCTCTGTGAGTAACACAGTCAATGCGACTACCCTTCTTGTATATTGACGCTACAATCGATTCACTCTAGTTATCTGATATGGTCTCTTCCTTCCAAACCTGTTCGAACAGGGATATCAGTGCTTTGCACAGGATCTCAATCACCATCCCGAAATGTTGTGTTAGGGAATCTGGGCCAGAATCTCGACAACGATTAGGGCTGTGGTGACGTTTCGGACCTCAGCCTCCGACGGAACCTCTTAACTAACCGTCCATGGTTCGGCCTGCACCACCTGAGTTGGAATGGGTCTTGGAGAAGGGGGCCAACTGAACTGATTCTGAAGTGCTCCACCCAACGAGCTATACTGGTGCTCTTTAATGTGAATCAAAATACCCGTGAATTATCTGCCTCGCTGACACCTGGTTTCTTGGGACCAGTGTTGCAGATCAGCTTGTGAAAATTGCCTGCTACTCCTGCATCTCTTGGGCCTTACTGGTTCTCCAGGCTTTCTTGTCAGGGCGTCGGCTCCGCTTTAGTCCGTGTCAAATATTCCGTCTGGTCACATCGTGCTCAGAGCCAGCCTGGATTCCAACAGGTTCACGGACCTTTCGGTGCGATGACGATTGATAGTGTCACAAGCAGATGCTCCAGCGTCGTGCATGACACTCGTGATCCTATTCCACTGAAGCTCAGTGTCATTAGGATAACACAGTGAAAGTTCTGGACGCAGTGCGCCTTGATAGGGTTGCCTGACCGAGAGCTGAGACAATTCCTCTGTCGCCAATCAAGAAAGACGCTTGCTACGCCTCCCGGTAAAGTACATGGAAAAGCGGCAGCATACTAAGGCAGGATCAGAGTCGACGCAGGTATTCCAGCACAAACGTTAATACAGGATGGAACAATACCATTTGTAACTTATCGCAATGTGATCTATTTGGGTCTATCTCTGGTCAGCTGCAGTACGCCAATTGGCACTTCGGTGCCTACTGTCTAAAAGCAGTGCTACTAAGAAACAGCCGGCGCTCCGCACACAGTTGCAAAAGACGCTCGCCGTTGTCCGTACGGTCGGAGTTGAGCCCATAATTACCACCGACCTGAGCTTCTGAAGAGGCTAAGTGACCTACTCGCGCATTCATATCCCTACAAGTACTGTGATAGCTGAACAGGTAGCATTGCGTTGTAGGGTGTTCGGTTCGTAGTAGGATGTGTGCGTCGCAGCATCAGAACTGCAGTCGGTGGGAGCATAAGCGGAAATCACAAACAAACAGCGTTTAGTACTATTTCGTGAATCAACCTTAGTTGATGTCCTATAACGAGCTGCACACGGACGACTGCTCACGGGACAGCCTTGGAGCTGAGAGTGACACGTACCCCAGCTTGACCAGTGATTGCAGCATCAGCGCCTCCGGATGCGTGCAGCTAATAGCGGGAGGACAAGCCGGCCGCAGTTAATTCAGCAACCCTGTGGAAGTCATTGATCCTAGTCGAATGCAGTCTTTTAACATATTTATCTTAGAGAGCGAACCTTGGACACTACCCAGGATACGAGACAATGTGGCCTTATAAGGAGCATTTGGCGATTGTCGTCCGATGGATGGTGTGGAAAGTTGAAGATGGTGACTCCAGTGGCATTGCGGCCGCTGCCAATTTAGCTGGGAATTTTGGAAGATTAGTAATGGAAGTAAGAGAAACCGGTGAAAAAGAAAGAAGCGAGCCGCAAGCAGTAGAATGTTAACATTTGTCCGCCCTGCCGTATACAGCAGATAAGGCGACCCTTGATAAATTACGCGACGGCCGATGTGGTTGAAGTTTGGGGAACTAGTCATGGTTGTACGTGGACTGAGATATTACCAGGGCGCCCAGACCTAGACAGGAGGACAATTAGGGTCCTCACCCAAAGGCTCTGGCTCAAAAGCTTGTCTGCAAGACAGTGAGGTAGTAACAGCGGTTTGATTTTACAGAAAGAGATGCCATCTCATTTCCAATTCTCAACGTATGGGCTAGGATACTGAGTTTGTCTGATCTCTGATCATTGACCGACTGGGTAGGAGTAGTTCTCAAGGGGCCCGGCTCAGTGAGTCGAAGAGGAGCGCAAACCGTCGTACCACGTTAAAGCCCAGTCTCAATGCGACAGAAAGCACCAACAGTACGCTGCACCCACGCAGACTCGAATCAGCGATTTTAAGGGGTTACAAAGTAGACGCGTCATCTACTCGGCCAATGAACAGGGTAGGTACTGATTCTACCAGCCATCTCCGCACACGTTGTGAAGCGACCATTTTTCCGCTAACAGCCGAAATGCTGCATTTCATAATGGAAATCTTCAATGATATGAATCTGTCTCCCTTTTTCTTCATTCTGCCGATTTCCTATTCATCGTTATCATCACAAAATGCAGCACAATAGTACTACGTTGCGTTAGTGCCACAGTGCTACGCAGTCACAATGGGAGGAGCGACATTTTCTACCATCTAAATGTATGCACGCCTTGATAGCACTAACAGCTGCAAATATTTGGCTGTGGTGCTACTTTCACTTCCCCATAGATTAATCACCACCATACCAACATTTTACAAGCAGTCAGGCTACGACTCGACAACGTATGCGCCACAGATGTCCTTTACGCTTTATGTTCTGTAAAATCTCATACCAAACCCATGAACTGCTTGGCCTCTTCCCTAAAAAGCGCGGTGGACTGCCGGTCTGGAGACCGGCCTGAATCCTTGCTGTTATACCAGCGGTTGCTCCTCGGAACTTCGCACCACCATAGATCCGCATCAGCGATTCCTATCAGGTTTCATTTATGGGTCCCCTGAATTGACATAACCGTCATCCAGCACTCATCTTCACATGTCGCTGCGAGCACGCTGCTAACATTTAACATGGGCAGTGATCCTTGCACAACACGAAGGGCATCTAAGGACCTCAGATTTTAACGATTAAATCTAACTACCGTAAAGTACGGTCCTCACCGTGGATTTGTAAACACGGTCTTTAACGCCAAAGCATCGCAGATACATAAAGACACTACTCACTTTTGTAGTGCATGATCAACTGTGGGCGGCATCCGTGCACCTTTCGCTACTAATACACCCGACAAGATTTTCGGATGCATCCGCTACTGCCGGTTCTTCATCGTCAACAGTCAGAGTGATGCATACTGCCCGATTAGCCATCCATTTGTGGGACGTCGCAAATCTGACAGTTCACTTCTTTATCGAATTACCTGACAGTTCAACACGTCACAGTCTTATCCTAATTTGATCGTGTGTTGCAGATGGTACAGCAGACATCCCGTTGTCGCCGCTTGTAGTTCCAATCGACGAATATGCTGTTAAGGCGTTGCTGAGCGAGGCCTATTGGATGTTTCCGATGTGAACGGGGTTCTCCGAATTCTGGATATATGCGATAACCCTATTGCACATAAGTGAAAGATTGATGCATCCTTTTTAATAACTCTACAGGCACTTGGAATTTTTGGGTTTATCCCTGACGACCACATAATGCTGCACAGTCAACCGGGAGAATCGCAAAACATTCCCGCCTACTTTAAGGTTACTCTTAGGCCCATGCTTTCCAATACCCTGAATCTATCTAGCCAATTGCTGACCTCATTGTCAAACAAGACATCGTCGCAACTTTGATTAGCCGCACAAATCTAACGCTGTTGCCTCGTGCCTTCTCACCACACTTTTTCAAGAATTACTAATGCTCTTGCCCTATACTCATCGTGGTTCAGCCTCCGTTCTTATTTTAACACTTCAGCTAGCCGGCCCTCTCTTGATCGGCATTCTGATTCTTCAATGCGTATTTTCACTCGGACTGATGGTAAGCTGATTTTTCGCCAAACATCCTCCTTACATTGGGCTTCACTTCTGACTCAGATGTTTCGTGTTAAAATTTTCTGTTGCAACATTAGCGTTTTTAGTGTTTGATACACTGAACCCACATGAGCTACAGTTTATTGTCGTTCAGCTATTCCTTTGGCGCGCACCAAAGTACTTTTCACTAGATTTTGCATATCTCATTGAGACTAGGATAGAATCAGTGTTTTTCTCTAGATTGCTTGATGCCTGCGTTTGTTCAGTCGAATTACATTCGCTCGGTTGACTAGCCCGCCTGTAGCCTAAAAGGATCACGAGCCTGCCTTATAATCCGAGGGCGCGAGTTCAAGCCTGCTGGGGGACCGGGCGACCCCCGCAGTTCTCGTAGACCACGCGCGATTGTTGGTGGTTGCGCAGCAGCGTAACGACGATACTGCGACAGGTCTTTCAGTATGTCACCGGATCAGTTGGTACTAGAGTCCCGGTCAGGTGCAATCATCCAGTCATAACTTTCTATTTCCCGGCTCTTCAGGTCCGACTCCCTGGTACCGCATCATGGCGGTATGTTTTAATGGTTATTCTTTTGAGTATGTGCGACTGGACTCCATTTCAACATTCTTTCGCGCAAAAAATGGTTGTCCGCTATCGGAATAGGTTGTGGAGGAGCGCTCGACAACGCAACTGCCAAAAACAAATTGAAACCGGCATGCTAGAGTTGGGTGCCGTTGCTTTGGCCACTCTTCTCACGTCAGAATGAGTGGAACACTAGAATACGAGCCAGTTTTATCGGTTGATCGTCAGGTCCACATACATTGCTTCTCAGCGGTTTAATCGACATCGTTGAGAATCAAGCAACTGTCCAGCCCCCTCGGCTGCTATCTCACCCACTGAGAACGTTTTGGACTCGTGCTGAGGATGAGTGGGTAAAGTACCCTGCACACTAATTACCAAATTAATTTTTGCTCGCTGTCGACGGAATTTCGTTCTGATGATTTTGATTCGCATGCTGTCATTGTTATCATCATTACTAATTTGGAGACATTCGTCATGGTGTCTGGATACCCCGCGTATCGGTGCAAAATGGAACTGCAATGTTGTTATCAGCTTATGCCACACTCGTAATATGCTCAAGTTTCTATTCCCTTGTATGCTTTGCAGTTCACCTTCTTTCATGGAGCTCCGACTGGACCACCAGGGACTGAACCATTTCCGCCACAGCCAGCCAATCTACCTCCTGAAATTAAGCACGTAAAAAGAAGTGTGTCGGATTCCATGGATCAACTGGCTGTGATCTCAGCAGTCTCAAAAACTGTCCCTTCGTCTGGTTTGACTGGTGTCCTGCATCCTTAAACGATTGAATTGAGGCCGTTGAGGCTTTTTCTGCAACTTGAACTGCTTGTGATATCGTTATGTTTTAACTTTTTCAAGACAGTTCTCTCAGCGACAATTATGTTCTGGTCGCTGCCGGCTAGTCTTATCACATACTTCTTGAATAATTGCATGCATATCCTCTGAGGTTGGTGTTCAGTTGTTCTCCGTTCTGTTCATTTTGCTTAAACGCTTGGGTGTGCTTGGACTGCTAACCTGCAGTGGATCCAGTTGTCACCAGCCGACTGTTCGTAATAGGAAAACGACAAATGAGTGATATCCTTCGGTTTGTTGTAGACCATCCAGTGAATGCGGTGTATTAATGAACGCAAAAATAGTAATTATAGTAAAATCACCAAAGTCCACCGTTTGATTTTTCATTTCTGGACATTAACCATACAAACCCTATGGATCCAGACTTCGGTATGTTAACCACTTTAGTCCAACCCTTGGGTTGCCAACTTACATATTTGTTGTTCCAATATGTCGTGCCGACGCTTCGGCTCCACGCGATCACCAACTGGCGCATGCAGCGTTACCCATAACGGTCGGGCACCAGGGTCACGCGATCACTGACGATCTCATTGGGATGAAGCGGCCGTCTAGCGCTTGCTGGATGTGTAGTGGCTGTTTGCGCGAGTCTAGCTGCGACGAATTTTTCCAAAAGCAGATATAACCCGACTACACCCTAATAATCAGTAATCTCCGTAGCAGCTCACGTGTCACCTCGGTTGGTGGCGGTTTGCAGAGGAAGTCGTAACTCTGGGGGGGGGGGGCAGTCCTGTCGTATGCACGTGGAGGATGAGCCGCGTTTCATCACAGTCATAGCGGTCCGCCTCCTTCACCTAGGCTCAGCGACAAAGGTCGCTGATTCGTTGGAGTAAGATCATGTGTTCGAATCCTGCCGGATTCGGTGGGTGCGCGCTACTGACGAGCCTTGATGGGACAAAACGACCGTCTAGCGCTTCCTGAATGTATGGCCGCTGTCTGAGTCTAATCGCGACGGACCTTCCAATGAAAACGATAAACCCTACCAGTACTCGCAAATAAACAGCCAAGGTTGCTTTTTACTCTTGAGAGATGCCGCCGAACCTCAGCCCGTTTATTTCGCATGGTCTATTACAGCAAAATTGTACAGTGCACGTCAGCAGCCTGCTTGTGGCCGTCAAAGAATATAATGTCTAACCTAGATACCGCGAGTTCCCCAGACGGTCTGATGTCTAACATCAGCCGACGGGCTTCAGGGTTTTTCACTAGACTGTCCAGTCAAACATGGACTCACAAGTAGTCAAAAATGGCCGCCCCCCTAAAACCGTATCGTTGCACTTTATCGTCAATTTTGAGTCGCCATTGACATGGATTACTTTCACCACTTCGCTCCCACACTTTATGACCACATTTCTCTGATCTCCCAGCACACTAGATTGTAATCGACGCTATCGCTTAGATGACCATACCGCTGCGTCCACTCAACCTTGCACATCGCCGTTGTCATTTTTCATCGCACTGTGAGCACTTTTCTATAGTTATCTGCACTGTCACCATCACTCTCGTTCTTGACGTAGAATAAGCTTCACTGGCATTACTTTCTAAATTGCCTTCCCTCGTGTTTGGTCATTATCACTGTTACTGTCTCAGTCTGTGCGCTTAACGGCTGCGCATACGCTGGTGTTATACGACAGCTCAACACACCAGGCAGCCGCTTCATCTTATTGTTGGGACTCATCAGGAACCGGAACATGGCCTCTCGACACCCGTCGCTTATGCCACTAAACTATGACGACAACTAGAGATCCACCGCATGCATGTATCACGGCTGATAGGTATTGCTGACATCGGTTAACTGCGAACAATTAATAGGTGTGAGGCAAAACCGACTGGAGTTTTGGATTGTGACACGCAGTCACTGAATTCAAGCCCTGTCATTCCGATCGCTGAGGCTCTACGCGAAATGGAGACTCTCGGAGCCTCTCTTTCCCATAAATGCACTTCGTAACCTAATTTAAACTCCTCAGGTAGAGATAATTTGGTGTGGGAGCCAAGCTCAGTGTATAGCGGTTGACGGCTAACGCAATGATCACTAGGCCACTCAGATCCAGGAGAGCAAAACGGCTTGTTTCAGACATTCAACCACCATAGTAAGTCGAAGAACAGTTCAGACGGTACAAGAAGAGGAACCCAAATTGGTACAACATCCACTGGAGAACTAGGAGACTTATTCCAAGGTAAGTAAGAAAAGTACGCAGAAAATTGAACACATCATTGATAAGTTCAACGTACGATAAGGGGAACATAGGTTCAAGTGATGACCATAAGCTCAGTTCATATGTGAACTCAGCAAACCGATTCACGCCCACTTGATTGCAATATTTTCCGCACTAATAATCACACTGTGTCATCTGAAACCACATGCAGCCTGAGAGCTAGGGTATGATGCGTGATAGAGACCAGCACTGGAATGCCCATACTGCGCGGCGGGTCAACAAAACATTAGGTACGCTTATCCCGATAGCAATTGCGCCGTGGTAAAAGTGAAATGCAACTTGTAGAGTGTATTATCGGAATAGAAAAATATTCCGTGCAGAGAATAGTCCGTTGCGAAAAAAACGACAAGGAGACATTATGACTTAGGTACTCACAAGACAGCATGCAAAGTTTTTTTTGACAAGAAGAATAGGATAGGTGAAACGGAGTCAACGTCGATAGAAACCCGACGCCGGCCATGGAGAAAAGAGCGAAATAAATTCGCAGAGCGACTGAAAGGGCAACAATCCTAATTCAACGACAGTGCATCAGCTGAACGTGGAGCCCTCGGGAGGCTGAGCTAGTCGGCTATTCTCAGCTGCAGCCATCCTTCGGCGAAGTTCGACTAAGACATCGCGCATCCGTAAGCCTCTTCTCCATGAGGTTAGTGTAGAGAAAGCCCTTGGATCGACCTGCGATAGAGGTGATAAGATTGACGCGAAAATGTGAAATATCTTAAATGAGGAGCGGTATAACCAGGAGGAAAATATAGGACTAATGCAGATAATAACTCAGGTTACCGATTAATATTAATTCAGCTCTCGAAGCCCAGAAAGAGTAACAGTAATTATTTATTATTAATGAAGGGGCGGGGAAAAAAACGCGGCATCAATCCGCAACGGGCACTCAAACTTAAGTTCCACTCTTTGCGAATATATGTCAGCAATACGGCTGTACTTCGTACAGATGCTTTGTCGGACAGCACTCAATCGCACTATCAACTGTCTAAAAAGTGCAAAGATCGCATCTGAATTGCTTCCATGATGTACGTGAGTACATCATGATGCCGTGAATCAATGATTCTCAAACAAATGAAAGCTTGGCTCGTTTCCATCACAGAGGGGAGCGGCACCATATTTGCGCCTCATCAAGAACATGACTATCAATAGTTATAAACAGTCTATCAGGCTTGAAAATGGCTCGTGTTTCGGTCCAGCGCACTTGGTGGCCGAGCTTACAATTAGGTCTGCTTGTCTTAGAATCTCTATACCAAAGACAAACTATATGCGTACTGGGAAACATTACATGAGTACGGAATACAATCCAGTTGAGGACTTTTCGACTACAGCGCTGTACCATCATCATCATTATACGCGTTAGCTACAGGTGGAGAACACCTCAGCTATTTATCGCAATACAAAAGACAAGAAGGAAAAAGGTAGCACGCCGGCTGAGTCCCCAGTAACGGATGGACATCGTTCCGGAGAGCTAACAGCCGGCTATCATGCCGAAAAAAGAAAATTATATTATGCCTAACGAATGAGATTGTGATTGGAGAAGGATGGACAAAGGAACGCACAAAGCAAACGCCATTGGGACCGGCTCCTACCCATATCAGTGTGTCCAACAAAACGTGGTCATCGTCCTTAGGACCCCAACAAGACAGTCGGGATGCACCAACAGACGCCAACTTCGAAGTGAAGGTTTTCATTTCTCTCGACCAAGTCATCGCTTGGCCTCCTTCTGCCAACCGCACGCCCGGCGCGCAAACAATGCACGTCACGGCAGTCGGTGTGCTGGCATGCGCAACACGTGGTCTAGTCATCGGAGCCTGGTGCGTGATATGATGGTGTTGAGTGGTTCCCTCGCTGTTCCTGCACCAAATACGCGACGCCGAACACGCTCATTGCTCACGCGATGCTCCAGAGGTAAGTTGCGCAGACAGTGATGATCGAACGTGACCAGCCTCTTTATGTCTATCGACGTGATGGGCCAGGTCTCACAACCGTATAAGAGGATTGAACGGACGGCTGCATTATACACTCTACCCTTCAGAGAGAGAGAGATGTCGCGTCTGCGCCAAAGGTAGCGGAAATTGGCAAAAACACCTTGGGCTTTTGCTATACGGTTCGTAATCTCAGGTTCGATCCCACGGGTGGTAACATAGCTACCCAGGTACTTGAATTCCTGAACGACTTCTAGCAGGTAACCACCAGGGGTCAGCGTAAGGTCCAATCTTGGAGAACTTTGCATTTCGACGGAGCAAAGCATGGCCCAAAAAGATTGACAGCAAGTGCTAATCGGTCCAGTACAGCCTGGCACGTTTGGGCGCTGTCACATATGAGGGCAATGTCGTCCGCATACTCCAAGTCAAGAAGTCGTTCACCAGGAAGTAGCTCCACACCTTGTACGTCGTGTCCAGCGAATGCTATTTCCATGATTTCATCAATAGCGAAGTTAAAGAGGAAAAGTGAAAGTGGGAACCTTGTCTAACACTGCTGGAGCTATTAAAGGGCGGCGACAGTTTGCCACAAACCATCATTCTGCCCGAACTATGCGCGTACAGCGCTTTGATAATGTTTACATGTTTATCGTGCACACCCTTCCTCAGCAGACAGTCCCAAGGGGCACATCTATCAACCGAAACGCGACTACGGCGGGTCACCAATAAACATGGCGGTGCTCCAACATTTGATGCAAAGTGAAGATGTGGTCGATGCAGCCTCGATTTCGACGAAACCCCGCTTGCTTTTCGCGGATCTTGCCTTCAAGAGCGCCAGTCAGTCTGTGGAGAACGACAGAGGCAAGTAATTTAGAGGCAACTGAGATCAGACTGATATGGTTGCGGCATTCCGAACGGGAGCCTCCTTTGAAAATTGGGACTATGACGGAGCGGCTACAGTCGGGACAGTTTCCATGACCCAAAGTTCTATTTGCAACACGTGTAAATCATCCACAAGAGTAGGTCCCCCGAATTTGTACAGAGTTGTGGGAATTCTATCTGCACCAGCGGCCTTATGCAATTTCAGCAGTCTGATCTCATGTTCGACTTCTGCGCATGAGGGTGGATCTAAGGAGACGGCCCATGCAGAAGGGCACTCAATGCCCGAAAGAGAAAGC